AGGTGTATAAAAGCAAATACCTAGGCATGCAGACTGCTTCTGCAAACAATTGTGAAAGAAGTGGTCACTCTCAGGAGCTCTGCAATGACAGCATGCTAAGATGTTCACATTGACAATATTTAATTGGTTTACCTTGTAGCTACCATCTATCTTAATTTAGTGTGTTATTAGGCTATATTTTTCATTTGTTTTGCAGGGAGTTTGACTTTATAGTGGCTCAAGTGTAGTTGCTCCTTGAGATAATAGCTGGCCCTTCATAAATGGTAAATTGAGTGGTTCTTATCGAGTGCTTCTCTACTCTGAGTGCTTTACACAACTTCCTTGATTCACCCAAGCACTTTTTTTTTCTATTCTCTTTCTATGTAAGTTCTTCTATCTAACATTCACACATCGATGGATGCACTGGAGAGCAACTTGGGTTTAGTATCTCGCCCAAGGATATTTGATATACGAGACTGGAACCACCAACATCCGATTAGTAGGTGACCAGCTCTACCACCTCAGCTACAGCCACCCCAATTGTCTTAGCCTATTAGTAATAGCTATTAGGCCAGCATCTTGAGTAAATGACTTTATTTTAAATTGTTGTGTACTGCAAAAGTCCAAAGTAGAACTGACTGTTGGCCTGCAGATAAATAAATGCTTAAGTTAGTGTAAGTACACTAGTCCGCCATTATTAGTAAAACCATTAACAGATTAAATAAATAATCATCCTCTTATTACAGTGCATTACTCTTTTGGTAAAACTGTGGGCTGTGCGTTTTTCTTTGACAGGTACTGCCCATGTGCTTGTATCTATGTCAGACTAAGCCCGTCATCCTATGGCAACGGTATTTCTTGGTGCAGCTTCCTCCAGCAGAACTCATACTCAGAAAAAAAACTTCAACTTCTCTGAATCCTTTGGCTCTTGTGAGTTCTAGGGGGGGCCTCTTACATTGGAACACTGTCTACGTTGCCATATACAAATATATCCACCAGTGTTTACAGCCTTTGTACCAGTAAAACAGTCCTTGTGTTCCCTTTGGAGTTCAAGTTTCACTGTTAGGTTATTTTCAGATTTCTGATTACTGTATGTCATTTCCCACTCATTATACCTCAGGGCAATTTTTTTTAAATCAATTAATTAACTAACTTATTTGTTTGTTTTTGTTTTTTGGATGGGGTGGGGGGGGGCAACAAGACGCTGTTCCTATTGTAGCTCTAATAAAACTGTGGCCTCTGGGGGTTCCAGCAGGGCTATAAACTGATAGTTTTGTGTTAAACTCTGGTGACTTACGTTCTTTTCCTCAATGTCACCGGCAAATACCACTTACAAATCTGTACTTTTAGCAGAGTTACTGCAGCTTTTAGCAAATAAATGGGAGAAAACAGAGAACTATTAATTAAGAACAGTTTTTCAGCAGAGGATTTATCCAGTTTAGGGGTAGCAGGTGGGAAAATATCCACGATGAAATATGTGGCTCAGCACAACAGTACCACTTTGAGTTTGCACATAGGAAATGGTTGAGTATAGTTTCTGACATGTCAGTTAGCATAACGATGTACTCATGATATCAGTGGTACATAATCTTTCTGACAGGCTTGTAATTCTGCACAAAACAACAATGTGTAAAGTTCAGTATATTCTTGAATAATTTGTAACCTAGTGTGCATCCAGTGGACTGTTAGTAACTTGTTCAATAACACTGATAAATCCTGCTGTACACTTACACTTGGTCATGTAGTTAATTTAATGCTTTTTGAAAACACTAAACAAAATTTTCACATCAACATCTTTTACATTTGTAGAAACATCTCCATCAGTCCAAGTAAAAGTTTTCCTTTAATTGTTCTATTGTTGGTTTTTTTTCCCATTATGTTTAGATTTTATTGGGTAAGTAAAAGTAAGCCATTTGAGTGTCTGCTATTTATTCTCTTTCTTCCTGGTGCTACCACTTTGGACTTGGTGTTTAAAAAAGAAAACTCATTGTGCAAGTGCTCTTAATGCTTTTTGGAATCACAGCATTCAATGTAACCAGAATCATAGAGTCCTTTGAGTTTCAGTATGGTAAAAAATATTGATGTTAACATGAAGCTCCTGACATGTCCTTCTGAGGCCATTTGCCAATGTCATTAAAAAAATATATTTGTACCATGACTGGTTTTATTCATCTTCTTCTTCTTCTTCTTCTTCTTCTTCTTGTTAGTATTAATAATAATAAGACTAGTAAAATAATAACGCTTTATTTATTTAGCACTTTTCAAAGTCCATGTTACAAAGACATTTACAGAGACAACAGATTAAAGCAAAAGTAATAAACGCAAGAAATAAAAAGACAATTCAAAACTAATTAAAAAGTCAGAGAGGGCCTTATCTTAAACACCTTGACTTAAAGGTGTGTTTTAAGTCGGGGTTCCGCCGACCTGATTTCCTTCAGAGCCTTCAAGATCTCTACTAGTACTGGGTAACAACAGGTTCCGGATGTCGCTATGAGCAGGTACTTAAAAATAACCAATAAAATATTAAAGTCAATTATAAAATACACTGGGAGTCAGCGTAAAGGTGCCAACATGAGAGCAATGTGATCCGATCTCTTTGCTCTAATGAAACAATCAAGCCGCTGAGGTGAAATTTAGCCGGAGGAAATTATTTGATATTCATGTTCTGAATCTCACAAAGACAGCCAACAGGTTCAAATGGTCTAAGTGGCAGGTATAGCTCTGTGTCACCAGCGTAAAAATGTACAAAAATCTCACTAAACAGTTAAAAAAAAAAATAGCCTACGGTAACAGCAGACAGATTCAAGAGAAGAGCCCTTAGAGTTGCACTGCAACTTCATTAGGTACGCTGTTTTTCGTTGGAGTGATGTAGCATATCAATCTAGATTACTTTAATCTGAGTAAATGTTCTGAGTACTTCTTCCAACTTTCATTACAGTTTGAATGAAACGATTTTTCTTACCTCGTGTGAGCTGCAATAGGCCTATAGCATCGGGCAGCAGCAGGTTGTTGAATCACTTCCTGCACTAACGTTTCCTTCTTCTGCTGCTACGGCTGCGCTGCCTATCACAGGATCATCAATAGCGATCATTAACATTGATCTGCTGGGACTGCATGGATCGCTGTGTTGAAGTGTTTTAATGTCTTCAGAGAGATTCACTTACTGAGGTAAGAAAACCAAACGCTGAAGCTTGGACTCACAGTGGAAAATGAAAGTAAATCAGCCGTGGTCCTCAGGGGGAACATCTGGAGTTCGAAACTTTTCAGAGGATAAACGCGTTAAAAACCCGAAAGGTGCTTAAAGTTGTTTGAGAGAAGTATAGCAGTAAGTAAAACGGCCTCCGGAGCATTAATTTGCGCTGAAATGTAAAGAAAGACGCAGCAGCGGGGATTCCCCCGTAGACTGAGCACAGACCACACAACGACCTCTGTCTCTTTTACTTTAAATACATTTAACGCACAATCAACGTTGTTTTTACGGTTTCATAGCAGCATAGTAGCGGCAAAGATAAAGTTCACGTGTACCTATCATTAGCATGTGCTGTGTATGACGCCCCACTGTGTGCTGTAACTGTGCGCACACACCTAGAAACGCTGTCTTGTTCTTTTGATGATAACGGGATGATTGATCCGAAATACTTAACTTTTAGTTATGATTTCCTAATGCGTTGTAGAAGTTGGATTTGTTATTAAAGCTCTGCCTATAGTTTTTATTTTTACATGTATTACTATATATGCTACAGACTTTGGGGGAAAGCATGTTATGGTGTCAGAGATAGTGAGTTTAAAAACCTGGCAGTGACAGTGATACCAATGAAAGCGAAAGGAAAGATTTACAAAATGGTAGTGAGACTTGAGGTTGAGTGGTTTGGAAACAAAGTTAGAGATACAAGGCTGGCATGTGCAGAAGAGGAATAGTGGATATATTAGAAATGGAGACAGTGGATTTTGAATATAGACCTGCCAGGCAGGACAAAAAGAGGAAGACCACAGAGAAGATTCATGGATGGATATGCAGAGGGTTGATGTGACAGAGGAGGATGCTAAGCATAGGGTGTGATGGAGTCAGATGATCCACTGTGGATACCGCTTAAGGTAGGGAACAAAAGGATTTTAATTAGTTAATTCATGTTGATGGTGCAAATTAAACTAAGAACTGAAGCAAGTATCTCAGCTGTAGTTACACCTGCCTGCAGCTGCACCCATAGTGGATCACAGAATTAGTTAGACGTAAATGATGAAAGAATAAAAAATTGTGGTACTATTTAGAAAGTCGTGTTACTTCATAAAAGTCCCTTGGAAAGGTTTTCAGTTTTATACCTGAGTGTGTCACTTGAATCTTACTATGCTGAGATTATTATGATTTCTTTCTACGTAGTGATGCCATTTTGCACTGCACAATTTTCTATATCATATTTCTATATTTCAATCACCTGTACTGGCTCTTTATTCTGGCCTCTTGCAAGCTCATGGCAACAGCAAATACAAATCAGGGAGGATCCCCGGAGGAGTCAAGCGTTCCCTCTGAGAACTACTCATTGAGGTCCGAAGAGTCGAGGCTGGGGTCCGAGGAATCCAGAAGGAGGTTGTCGGGCCCCACAGTCTCCTGGGATTCAGAGCTGGCTTCTATCAGGCACAGGTTAAAGTTTGTGTTGAAGCTGAAGGAGGAATTTGTTTGTCCAATCTGCAGAGGGGTGGTGTTCAATCCCCAGCAAAACTCCTGTGGTCACATCTACTGCTTCCACTGTCTCCAAGGACTATTGTAAGAGCTAGGACACCTTAAGATGCACACACACTGGCACAGTTCACATAAAACCACATTTATACTGACACAAGCCGTGTAAAAAAGTTGATATAGTCTCCCAAAAAACACACGTGAAACTGAAAAGCACTAAAAGAAAAGCTGTTCAAGTTAAACATATTGGTCTTACAGTCCATCTTTTAAAAAAGTTCAGTCAATTTAAGACCTGAGCTGGTTGACATAGCACCCTTACTGACACAGTCTACCTTAAAACACACTTATTTTAACACATGTCCTCCTTAAAAAATGTACGGTTGGGTCATTGTGCTTGGTGTTGCAGGGAGAGTTCATCACCGTCCAACCCAGTTTGCCCAGTGGACAAGGCTGTGATCACACCAACTGAGGTGAGACAGAGGGCAGCTGTAATTTGTCAGGCAGACTTTTAGCTTCTGCATAAGCTAGAGCTGTGCCATTTACGGTTTTGTAAAGTGTGACATGCCAATACCAATTTTTACTGATTCAGAATTTCTTCACAAGAACTATAATTGACAGCATATAAAACGAAACATTTATTTTCATAGTAAAATTAATTATTAAGATTTTTAATTTAATCAGGATTGTAAGAATATATAGGATTGTCTCTCACTGAAACAACTGAAAATAAAGTGTCCTGCTACTGGAAAGAAGTGGGCCTCAAATAATGAATTAAAAATGAGTTGCTATGCACCCACCTTTACCTGATATGTTTGACCTTTTTTTTAAAAAACAAAACAAAAACAAAACAAAAAAAGCAAATTTAAAAGATTCATATAGCAAAATAAATGCCCTATAAGTCAACAAACATGATTGATACCCTGATGTCATCTCCCTGGTCAAGACTGGTTATGG